TCCAGCCCATGGTCCCTTGTGAGGTTGCAGTCTGGGTGGCATTCGGGACTGAGATCTCACTAGAAACATGACTGGGGTTGGTTCTGCATCCAAGCCCACTCACATGATTGCTGCTCAAATTCAGTACTTTGCAGGGTGTTGGACTGATGCCTTCAGTTGCTCACTAGCTGTTATTCAGAGATCTTCCTCAATTGTTTGTGGCATGGGGCTCTCAATGAGGCAGATTACAATACTACATGGTTGTTACCTGGCCTCAGAGCAAGGGAGATAGAGTCATCAAGATGAAAAAACCACAGCCTTTACATAAGCTAATACCAGAAACAACATTCCACTCATCATGCTGTATTCTATTTATTAAAGGCAAGTCACTAAGTCTAGCCCACATGAAGGAAAGAGAGTTACAAAAGAGTGTAAATACATAGAGGCAGAGATCATTGGAGACCACCACAGAAGTTGCCCAACATAGCCCTGTATAGTCAGAGGTAAAAGATATACAGGTCTTATTACAAGTATTCAGATTATAGAAATATCTTCATGAAGAATCTTTATATGCATTTGTATGCAAAGACCATTTGAGAGGTGTGATGTATAATGTCCTGAATGGATGTTTTGTACTACAACCTGCAGAAATGTCCTTCATAGTCATATCATAGCATTAAACTATGATATGGATATTTAAATGGGGACAAATTAAATAGTACTTTTTAGTTATGCAAATGTGGTAAAGCATTTGTAAAAATATGGAGAATTATCAGGCCTGCGAACCAGACAATCGCGGTTCGATTCCCAGTCAGGACACATGCCAGGGTTGCAGGCAGGTTCCCTGCAGGCCAGTTCCCAGCAGGGGACGCACGAAAGGCAACCACACATTGATGTTTCTCTCCCTCTCTCCTTCCCTTCCCCTCTAAAGATAAATAAATAAAATCTTTAAAAAAATATGGAGAATTAAGAGTCAGTGGTTCTCAAAACATTTCTGTGCTTAAGATTCAATTTTGCATATACTAAAGTAAATATCCAGGTACACCTCAGTTGTACTAAATTAAATCTTTGGGGGATGGGCATAGATTTTTTTTATTATTTTGTAATAAGCACTCCAGATAATTCTGTTGTATCAGATCCAGAAACAATGTTTGAGAAACAGTCTTTACATGGTCACTTTCAACTGTCAATTACCTCCTCTGTATTCTTGGTAGATAATACAATAGAGACACATATTAAAAACCATTTCAGTCAATTTCTTATATATTCCCACATCCAGATTTTCTGATCAAATTGGTAAAAATTTCCAAATTTGTATCACACAAAACACACAAACATACACACATACACATATACAAAACAAACACAAAAAAATCAGAAGGTAAAGGATAGAGATACAATGTTTTGTTTTTTTAATTGATAGAATTCAGAAATTAAGAAGAATTGCAGTTACACATTTAGTCCATGTTTTTATTTTCAACATTTTACTTGTCATGCTTATGGTGTTTTATAACTTACAAAAAGTTGTATCCTGTTATCATTTCACTATATGGCTACACATTAACTTTAGGAGCATGCTGTACAAAATATAAAACTTATTATCAAATTTGTCAAAACTTTTATTTAACTATAAGTCTTTAGGTCACTTTTCTGGATATGCATGCACATCACAGCTTTCTGGATGAACTAGAATTGAAGAGACGACAGGCACAGCTCACTTTATTGAAGGCAAGACCCTCCACCAGCTAAAGCAACACAGCCTGCTTTATCATGATGCTCCCTTTAGGACGGTTCTCTGGAACCGAACCCACCTTATATCGAGGTATGCCTGTATAGTACACTTGAACATTAATAACTGTTATTGCTACCTACTAGATATGCACTTGTTTTCCTCTGGACTAATTACAAGTTCTGTCATTACAAACTGCTATAGAATGACTAATTTTAATAACCCTAGAAATATCCATACAGAAATCCTATTAGGATCATGGACAAAACTTTTAATGTCAAGCATATGATCCAGCATGAATTTAGATAGTTTAAAACTAAAATTACCTAACCCCACATAATGTAGTGGAAAAATGTTTACTAATTAAAACAACTTCACCAAAACCTATGAATATATACAGAGAAGCAAAACTGGTGATGCAACTAATTCATATAAATTGAGTGAATTATTGCCTCAAGCTATAAAGATATAAGGACAGACAAAATAAAAGTAATGGCAGCTCAAGCTGTTAACATAAACAGAAATAGGAAGCTCTATCATTTGTCAAAGGAAATAACACTTGTGTTTTCTGGTCTCTAACAGAATAAGCATGACGTTTTTTTCCCACTTAAATATTTACAGTCTATCACTTTTACTATTATGAATTAGTATCATCTGCATATTCTTGCTGTTTCTGATATCAGTAGGTCTCTGCTATTTGCCAAATGATCCAGGATTGTTAGCTACATGTAGGAAATTTTAATTATGCAGAAAATGGGTTGATATTGGCATTTACTTGCCTACTAAATAATGTCAAATACTAGAATGCCAAATCGCACAGTACACTTTCCATCAAACAAATGACTAACTATCGCATCACCCAAACCTATAGAGAAGTTACAGACATAAAATCGATAAGGAATAGGTTATTAAAAAGTTGATACCATATCACTCATCTAGTACTGTAGCATCATCATCATTAGCATTCACTGCAAGTTTTAGTGAGACCTTTTCATGCAGTCAATGCATTTTGGTTATTGGAGGCACATGCTGAATAAGACACAGACTGGTCCCTTGAAGAGATCATAGACAAGTTGTATTATCTGTTTTGCATTGTTATAGTGCAGTGAATTCAACTTTTTTCATCTCATAGCACACATTAAACTAATTACTAAAATTCCACAGGAAACCAAAAAATATATTTTTGTAGATCTGACAAAAATAGATATAATTTTGATTCCTTCACACCAGATGGCTATTGTTGTGTTGGCTGTTGTTATTTTTTTTAATGTGACAATCTAAGAGGAAAAAGATCAATACCTGACTGAGTAGTCAGGTATTGTATGTTTCAAAAAAAGTCTTGTAGCACACTTGATAAAAATCTCTGCTCTAGAATACTGTGTTTAAATTAGAGATTTTTAAATGTATATTTAAAAAAATGTATATAGTATACTACCTGTAGATCCAGAATGGATACCAAGTCAGTCATATACACACATGCACACACATACACACACACACTATATTTATATATATTTATACATATATAATATAATTTTAAGTGGTGTTGATGATGATATAAGAAACACTCTAGCCATGATCATTTTATACTTCTTAACCACTTAATCCCATTCCTAGATTACTTGAAAATTTCCCTCCAAGATATATCCAATGGATGTCCAGAAAACACTGGCTCTCCCAGCCCACGGTGAATCCGGAACACATCTATGTACTTTCTATCTCATCAGTGAGTCGCATGTTTGTCAAACTGTATTGTATTTATGTTAAAAAGCATTCATTTGTCAGTTGTGGTCATTATTGTAATTACACAACCTAATTTTATAAATACTAGCAAAAGATGAATAAAAAAGGATGATCTGAATATAGGAAAATTATGTCCAAATGTTGGGATGTAATTCCCCTCTCTCTTGAAATAAATGAATATTTTTTTTAAAGATGGTGACATTCTCTCTAAACTTCTCTTGGTCTTTTCAGTATTTTCACAAATGGTTGCACAAGTTCAAACATTATAGTCATATTCTAGGGTCATCTGCCCTTTTTCTGAGAATAGCAAAGTTTCCTACTTGCCACCAATGAATGTTATGTCTCATTGGCCAGAACTGTGTCAGATAGCTATACCAGTTTCCTAGTATTTTAGCTGACCTTGCCCCTATAGTGAATTTTTAGAGGAGATGGGAAAGGGCATTGCATTAGCAAAGCAATGATATCTGCTAATGCCATCTTTCACTAACATGTCTTTACTGAGCCATTCTAAATGTCTGGATGGTGCAGACACTGGCCCACAGTGTCCACAGCGCTATGGATGAGATGCGACACAAATCACACTGACCACCAAGTCCTGTGGAGGAAAAGGTATGGCGCGAACTCTCTCTCAAGAGGAGAGCACCCTGACCCTTGCCTTGACAAACTTTTACTGGGTTCAATTTGCACAGGAATAAAGCTCATTAATCTTTGTCAGCCAGAAATGATTAAAGAATAGATCATATTCAACCCTTTGCAACAGCATGAATGGAACTGGAAAGCATTATGCTAAGGGAAATAAGCCAGGCGTTGAAAGACAAATACCATATGATCTCACCTTTAACAGGAAGCTGAACAACAAAACAAACAAGCAAGCAAAATATAACCAAAGACACTGAAATAGAGAACAGGGGGACAGTGACCAGAGAGGAAAGGGGAGGGAATTTCAGGGGAAAAAGTGGGAAGGATTTACAGAAACTAGTATAAAGGACACAGATGACAACTAAGGGGGGTGGAAATGGGAGGGAGGTGGGGGGCACAGGGGGGGTGGGCTGGGATGGGAGTAAAAAACAGAAAACTGTACTTGAACAATAATTAAATAAATTTTAAAAAATAGATAATATTCAAAGAACGCTGAGGGCTTATTCTGAGTTAGAGTAAGATAGTTAAAGGGCCATAAAACTTTAGGGAACAAATTCACTTCCTGCTTGGGCCCTTATTTTGTAAATTGAGGGTATTAGCAAAGAAGGTTTCATAGGATTTTATGCATTCTTTCTTAGGCCTTATCACCCTAGGGAACCTACCCTTTCCAGCACAGGTGGAAACCCACCTCCAGCTTTGTTTCATGCTTAAGTCATTGTTTCAGGCTAAAGCCATGCAGAGGAAGTAAGGCAGCCAAGAAATTAGCAGACTTCTTGCAGACACAATAAGGACTCAGGCTATGTCAAAGCCAAGGGCCTAGGGTCCATCACCCCCTTTTTCTATAGCTCCCCAAGTCCTTCGTTGGGGCCCCCCATGATTGTTAGGTTAACCCTTCCTTTAGGAATCTTACCTGTCATAGGATAACCGATCAAGCATTGGGAGCCGGGCAGGGTGAAGTAAAAGGAGCAGAGGTGGTGCCCCTGCCAGGGAGATAAGGTTTGTCTCTTTAGTGGCTTATGGTCCCAAGGTCTCTCACTCAGCCTTAGCCATGGGAGGTTAAAGCTTCTGAAACCAGGCGGGGCAATGAGAAAGAGAGAAAGAGAAACATCAATGTGTGGTTGCCTCTTACACACTCCCTACTGGGGACCTGCCCTGCAACCCACGTGTGTGCCCTGATTAGGAACCATACTGGTAACCCTTTGGTTCACAGGTGGGCCCTCAAGCCACTGAGCCACACCATCCAGGGCAGAATGTTACCATCTTAATGGCACCTGCCAGTTATCTCCACATTTCTTATTTATTGAGATAAAGGAAGGAAGGAAGAAAAAAAGGAAGGGAGGAAGTGAAGAAGGGAGGGAGAAAGAAGGAAAAGGAATGATGGAAAGAGGGGAAAATGAAAGAAAAAATTACATAAAATGTAGGAAGATATTTTTTTGCTATTTGCAGTCGAAAGCATTCCTAATACCTGGTAGTATCAGGAATGGGGAGGAGGGAAAGCGAGACCAGAAAGATTTTTCATTCAGATTGCTTCACAGTATTCTTGAGTTATGTTCCACTATGAAATTAACAAAACTGCAAATCATATGAATATGACTGATTCAAGGAAGAGGGGATGTGTAAAAATCTTATCAAAGAACTCAAAGTATCAGTGAACAAATGTGTACTGATTCATATAGATAGACTGATAGACATACGTCTGTATGCATTATTTTTAAGGTTTCTCACATAAAATGTCTCTTTCAATAAATCAACAAATGCCAGACCAGAAAGAATTAAATAAAAGACTTTAACTATACTCTAGAAAAAATATCAGTTAAAATATCAATTAAAAAAACATCATGTTTACATTTTCATCACAAAGTTTGGTAAAATTCTATATAAACAAATTGGAAGAAGTAAATAAAAATTAAAAGTTAAAATGATGAGTTTCAAAAGTTATATTAAATAAGATAAAGTTCCACCAAGTAGTTAAAAACCCTTAAAACATTATAGATTATCGGATCATATTATTGCTATAAAGTTCTAGAAGTTTAAGAAAATAATTTCTTTTGTTGGATATCAAACAATTAAGGAGCATTCCTTGACTATGTCTTTATTCAGAGTAGAGTTATCTACTCTATTTAAATAGCAGAACTTAGAGTTAGAATCTACAGTTTTAGCAGAAGCCTGGTATAAAACATCCCTTGCGAGATGGAATAAAGTATTTGCTTACACATTCTATAAGAGGGATTTACTTTATGAGTAAACTGGTTGTTTAGAAATAGCTATTCTTGTTAAGTATAAATCAGCCAATTTCTGTCTGTCAGTCTCAGTATTGTTACCAGTAGTAAGACAGAGATAAGACAATTTCTTCACCCATCGATAGGGTTCTTGCATTCTATCCCACTCACCTGCTTTCAGACTTTCTTATTTCTGGGATAATACATGCTCATTTTTTTCCTAACACTTCTGTCTTGAAACGTGTTTGGATAAATTGCCATCAAGTCTGTCCTACTCTGGCTGTTCACCGTCTCTTAACATACCAGAAAAAGAATAATAAACTTGAAGTTGGCCAAAGTATTTCCAAGTCCAACTTATTAACAAACAGATAAGTATCTTTTGAGTTTAAAATATCTTCTTGAAAATTTCAGACATGTCTATCCAGTATTTTCTTTTAATATTTATTTATTTATTTATCTTTAAAGGGGAAGGAGAGGGGGAGAGAAACATCAATGTATGGTTACCTCTAGTGCATCCCCTGCTGGGAACTGGCTTGCAACCCAGGCATGTGCTCTGACTGGGAATTGAACCGGGATCCTCTGGTTCACAGACCCGCACTCAATCCGCTGAGCTACACCAGCCAGGGCTATCCAGTATTTTCTTAATACAGATATTTATACCTATTCATGCAACATAAGATTCTATTTACGTTTTTATAATACCATAAGTCCTTGCTACTCTTTTAGGCAAATACTTAGTCATGAGAGTTGCCTTTCATTTTTGTTACTTTGAGTCTGAATTCAAATGATCAAAATGTATTGTTGAATTCCCCCGCTTTTTTATATATATTAATTATATAGATTGCTGCTATTGGTTAGGGATAGTCATGATGAACCAGGATCAGCGATCGATACTTTATATATACATTAACTCTAACCTCTCTGCGACATAACTAGGTAAGAATTTTCATTTGCTTTAAAGATTAGTGGGTTAATGGAGGCTCAATATGTCAAAATATGAGGTTCAAAAAGTATACACAGATATAAGATTATTCTATGTCCCCAAAAGATTTGCAAAAGAGGGGTCAAAAGAGTTTGAGACAACTCTTTTAGAGCCATGATATCTACAACAAGTGGTCCACAGATCAAGAGCATCAGCATTATCTGGTAGGATCTACCTGAATCTGAAAGGCACCATCTTAGAGACAACATGAATCGCAATCTTCTCTGATACCCATTCCCCTTCCATAAGAGTGGATCATTGGAGTGAACATTTCTAGTCTCTTATTCTTTTGCAAGAAAGCTAATTCTGGGGTTATGCATGATTCATAGTGTGAAGTCCACAATTACGTGTGCTAAAATGTCTTGTCCTCTTTCATCTGCCTTCACTACTACTGTTGCTCCTGATCGTGGACCATTCCCACAATTACCCTCAGAGATGTGATACATCAGGATGTATTACACCCGCCACTCAGCACCACCCATAATCTCTGGCATTCAGACTGACCTGTCTGGAACTGAGTGAGCCAAGCACACCTTAGACTTTGCTGCCTGTCAGGGTCTACTCGACAGACTCAGATTTTCTCTGGCAGATCCTAAGGCCTAAAATTGAATTTGGAATAGGTGATGTGATTTGGGTTCAGATCAAAGCTATGTTCTCCAAGAGATTTTGCCTGAAGACAATTTATGTCTACATTTGAACAATGATGACTAGGAGCCCAACCATTAATAAAACATACTCCAATGCCCACTTTGTATCTTTTTGTTAGAGGGCATTAGCCTGCCTCATCACCATCTTTCATTGTTACTAGCTTTTCATAGACACAAAGAGATCATTTATTTCTTAGAAGCTTCCTCAAGTATTATCTCAGATAATTCATCACACAAATATCTTGAGAATGGTTGAAAAATTATCTGAAATTACATTTGCTAATACATATTAGACTAATACTTGCCATGTAATCAGCAAGTCTGAACATGATATATTCCCTCTAAAAGATAATTGAGTAATTTACATTTTCACACTGACACACTGAACCCTCGGTCATGTATCGTCCATGGGATCATAGATTCAAATAAATAAAATCATCAAGTTGATGTGACTTTTGTAACACAGTTGGATATACCTATTTCATGTGAAAATATTCAAGTATCCAAGTGTGTATATGTGTACCACCTTCTGCTCCAAAACTTATTTGGATTTTATTTGTGTAAAGTTTTAAATTATTAACTAAATAATACATTTAGGTTAATAAGTCAGAAATGAGTATCTGGGAAGGAATGTTTAAATTAGAACCTGAGTCCCAGATATGCCATTTACTGACTCTCTAACCATCAAAACCTATTTTTTTCTGATTTAATGTCTAAATGAGATAATATTATATATTTTATTAAAATGTAATTTTTATTTACATTGAAATGCATTATTCTAGCCCTGACCACTGTGGCTCAGTGTGTTGGGTTGCATGTGCATGTCATGAGGCAAAAATCACCAGTTCAATTCCCACTTGGGGCACATGACTGAGTTGCGGGTTTAGTCCTTGGTTGGAGCACATGTGACAGGCAGCCGTCAATGTTTCTCTCATATAGATGTTTCTTTCCTTCTTCCTCCCTTCCATTTTCTTAAAAAAAAAAGTAATATATATATATATATGTGTGTATACATATATATATACATATTTCAAAGAAATGCATTATTCTATCCCAAGGAATGCTTTAGGTGATAATGCAACAAACTTCCATGATACAAGATTTTTAGTAAAAAAAAGTCAACACATCCTGCCAATCAAAAATAATAATAATGATAATAATAGGTAATATTTATATAAACTTTTATTTGATAGAAGCTGTTTTAAGAATTTTTTGTGTACTACCTCATTAAATACCTTAATGTAATATAGGTAAATGCTTTCATTATTCTTAATTTACAAATAAGAAAGTTGAGAAACATAAAATTTAAGAAAGCTTTTGAGTCATGTACTAATAAGAACAAATAAAGGACATGATTTACATTTATATTTATATCTATATCAAAAACTATACACACATAGATAAAGTATGTCTTTGTATCACCCAAGAAACACCCTGCATTTACTAGCCTATAATAGTAATTTTTGAAATGTATTAGTATAATTTTCAATTTTTTTTGAAATTTGCTCAATTTTTAAAAAATAACAACCCCGTATTTGACCTTCTACATTACCTTCTACGTATCAAAATATATTCTCCTCCGTGAGACTCATAAGACAACTTTCAGAAATTATACTCTTGGGTACAGGAAAGCCTATAATTTTGAAGTGTTAAGAAAGTAAAGTATAGTGGCCAATGAAAAAGTCTAGTAATAAATTTTAAATATATAATCTTATCTTGTCCCAAAGTTATAAATAAGAGTTTATAATTGATAATATAGATTTGGGCAACTGTCACAAATGCTTAATCCATTTGGGAAGATGCACTTAGATGTGAAAAGTTACGGCAGATTGCTGGACTCACAGTTCTAGGAAGTGCCAGAAACTAAACAAAACAGTGATTTGAAATAACAGCCAAGTCAGCAATTTTTTTCAGATTTTTTTTTTTTTGGATACCCGATGCCTGTGTAATTTTAGAGTTCTGCTATAGTACCACAGAAACAAAGCACTTTGATTAGAAACACAAGAAGAAAAAGAATCACATGGAATCAAACTCTCTTTTTTTTTTTTTAGGAGAAAATAAAAGGAGTAATTTTAACATTGCTTTTCAGAGCAAAGATATTAAGATTCCCAGTAGTGGAATTATTGAGTCAGAAAGTGCAAGATATTTAAGTCATTAATGTGGGCTCCAAATTGCTAACAAAAGACTGTACTAGTTATAATTCATCAGCAATGTATG